AGATGGGGTGAGGAAGGAGAAATAAAGAACAGAGGCAGAAAACCAAAAGAGAAGAAAAAGGGATAGAGAATAAGTGTGAACACAGAAGAGAGACAGATTCCCATCCCCCCCCCAAAAAAAATTTCACCATGAAAAGATGAGAGACCATGACTGGGAGACTGAAGGACAGAGAACATTTTCCTAGGTTCTGAGGTCAATTTTAACACTTAGGTTGCTTTTGTTTTGTCCTGACAGACCACTCATTCATTTGAGCAGTAGGTTTGGGATTCTATCCTTGTCTTTGATGATGCTGGCTGCATGCCAATTCTTCCCTGTTTTTTTTTTTTTTTTAAATGTTCATTTTAAAATACTCAGAGATGGGGTGCCTGGGTGGCTCAGACGGTTAAGCGTCTGCCTTCGGCTCAGGTCATGATCCCAAGGTCCTGGGATCGAGCCCTGCAACGGGCTCCTGGCTCAGCAGGGAGCCTGCTTCTCCCTCTCCCTCTGCCTCTCTCTCTGTTCATGCTCTCTCTCTCTCTCTGTATCTCTGTGTCTCAAATGAATAAATAAAATCTTTTAAAAAAATAAAATACTTAGAGATGCTTTGAAGAAAGGAAACCTAATAGTCTATAGGGAGAGAACAATTCCCTGGGCTGTTGAAAATATGCCTAATATGTTCACTCAGGAATAGAATAAAACCAACTGGCAAGGACTGTGGCCTTTGTGCTAGAGCTGACTTTTATTTTGAATGATTCCTCTAGAACCTAATGTTTTTTGTTTTTACTGGGTTGGGGATGGGGTGAGGGGTGGTGGGAGCTGGGGAGACAAGAGCTAACAAACACAGTTTTTCATTGTCTCGTAAATAAGCCCAAGCCCTTTATGGGCATCAATCTTCCAGAAAGCAGACAAGATCCTGGTATAATAATGGCTTCTTGCCTCGCTCTGTCCTTACCTGAGTGTGGCTCCCTCTTAGCGCTTGTTCTTAGACTGTCAGCAGCTCTAACAGCCACATCTGTCTTCCCTGTGAGCTGTTTGTGGAACAAGCACAATCCAAACACAAACTTGTGAAAAACCCAGACTATACTGCGGGCTTATAGTCTCCCTTTTTTTTCTAGAAACCTGCCTGATATTAGAGATTTCACTTCCCATATGAATTCCCATTTTAGGGCCCTCTCCAGCTGGGGTGAAAGCTCAGGGACTCACCACTGCAAATGAAGATGGCCACTGGGAGTCCCATGGCTGGACACTGGAAATCAGAGCCTTACTGTGTCATAAGATGGAAGGAAGGAAGGAAGGAAGGAAGGAAGGAAGGAAGGAAGGAGAAAAGAAGCTCTAATACCTAATCTTAAACACACACACATACATTTGAAATGGAGTTTAAGAAGGACAAAGAATCCACAAAGTTTCAGGCTTTGCAAAATCACAATTAAATAAACAGCAACAATGAAAATCTGCAAACAGCCACCAGAGCCATACTGCTGAATGGTAATATGTGGTTTTAGATTATGGTGTCTGCTTCATATGTCTCTTATGATTTTAGCTTCTCTTCATTTTCAGGCACTTTTTTAAAAGATTTATTTATTTATTTTAGAGAGGGAGCATGCATGAGCATGGGGGAGGGGCAGAGGGAGAGAGAGAGAAGCAGAGCTGAGCTTGGAGCCTGACACAGGGCTCAGTCCCAAGACCCTGAGATCATGACCCGAGCTGAAATCAAGAGTCTGATGCTTAACTGACTGAGCCATGCGGGCGCCCCCTTTTTAGGCATTTTAACCCCAACTACTTTTGTTTCCTGTGTCATGTTAGGTAGTTCTTTTTATATTTTTTTTTCACCTAACTTTTGTCAAACATCATAAACGTGGAGAGTAACAAGGAAGAGATTCAGAGAGATGATGGCGTTCATAAAAAGAGGCATCAATAGAGACATGTGGCTCGTGGAAAGACCAAACTATTGGGTAAACTCTGGAGTTTTCATGCCTCTCTCTGAACCTTCTTTTGCTGCATCTTCACAGTGGGGTATGTAGGGCCAGGGCTGTGGGCTGATGGCTCTCTAGGCCAGCATCTTTTGTTGGAATACAACGTCTGGTACATGAAGGGGCCCTCTGGTTTCAGTAAAGACTCCCTTTCCATCTCAGCTGCAGGGGCAAGGCTGTGCATCATGCTGGGGCCCTGGTGAAGGCTCGCCCTGGAACTCACAAGAATATGACACCCACAGGTGTGACACTCTCCTTGGACAACGCTGGCATGTCAAAGCCTGAGAAGCATCATTGTTAGGGTAATTTGGGGGCTTTTCTATTTTTCAGGAAAAGCCAATTAACCATAAACTTCATCGCTTTAGTAATGCTGGAAAACATAACTCATAACTGACCAAATCCCCATTACTTTAACACCAAGGGCTGCTGGTGTAGTGAATATGCGGCACATAGTAGGTATCCAATATGAACATGTTGAATTGGTTAATTTCTAAGGAATGAAGGGGGGGTTGGAAATTACCATTAACCAACATTTATGGTTGCCAGATGGTAGATACTTTGCATATGTTCTTTCATTTGATCTTTATATCACTCTTGGGAGTTTGGGATCATTGTCCCTGATGAGGAAGCTAAGGATGAGGAAGCTAAGGAATCGAGGTCCCAGGGGCCAAAGTTAATAAGTGATGGAGGAGAATCCAGACCCAGGTCTACTGGATTCCACAATCTATATTCTGTTTTTTCATTATCTCATACTAACTCCTAAAATCAATCACACAGGAGATTTATGAATATATATTTAGATGAAGGGATAGGTGAAAGAGAATAGGTGAATGATAAATAGTGGGAGGAAAGAAAGATTCCCAAGAAATCTATTATGTGCAAAGTACTCCATTAGTGTGCATAAATTTAATTCACCTAAGAATCCTGTGAAATATTAATCTTGATCTCAGTTTTAGATGACTTAGCTGAGACTTGTGGAGGTGAACTACTGGATGAAGATATGTAGCCAGGAAGTGGTCAAATTAGGATTCGACATTAGTTCTCTCTGCCCCTGAACCATAGGCTCCTCTCATTACACCATCCTGCCTGGAATCGGGCATGCTAAATTCTCAGCCTTGCTCTGCCCTTTATTAGTGACTCAGTCAGTTGTGTAGACTCTCTGGGCCCCAATTTCTCATATGGAAAATGACTGATGCCCTACCTTCTTCAGAGACTCAATGAAAGCATGACTCGATAAAAGCATGTGAAAGGACTTTGAAGAGTTAAGAAGCTATTAAAAATACAATGGGGACTCTAAAAATATTAGGGTAAAGAATTAATAATGTTTGGCGAAATCTTAAAAGATCCACAGACAAGCTGTGTCCTGTCACTGGTTATGTAGAGTTGGTGAGAGATTACTCACTAATTCCCCAGGAAGGAAGGTTCTCTGATTTTCCTAGTCAGAGCCTAGGTAAGCACGGGTACAGGACAGGAAATTTGATAATGTGTAAGAGAAAGTCCTTTTTCTTTTTAACTGGAATTCTTGCATCCAATCTTAAAGATTTATTCCATATCTGGATTGAATCCTTATTACCTGTAAACACTGGCATAAAGAACTTTCAAGAAATCCTTAGAAGAAACAAAAACACCTATCAAACATTGTGCCATTAGTTTGTTTTATTTAAACTATTGAAATGAAGTCCACTAATAAAATTGGAATTAATTGTGGAAGAACAAAAATTTTAAATCTTTTTTATATACTCAGGACCACAACAGCAATTATCTAAGAGACTAATACATAAAATCAACGGAAGACACAAGTATATTTTCATCTAAAACCATCCCACAGAGTTTGAGCTATGATTTGTATGTGGCTGTCAAATTAAATGATTGATATGCCGCAGGATCAGAAATCATAAGTTATTTAGTGTTCATAGGACTAGAAGAAACTAGAATATGAGTATAATTTCTCTCATCCCATGTAGCAAGAAATGTTTGAGAATTCGTGGGAATATTTATTTTATAACTTGGGATTTTAAAAAGCTTGAATGAAGTCAAAGTGTCCAAAGATAGCTGATTAACACTAATAGTAATAACAATATAACAACAATCATAATGTTCATTGAGTGCTTAGTATCTGCCATATTTACACCAAGAACTTTCCGTACATTATTTTGTTTAATTCTTAAGAACAACAACAATATGCAGATACCCTTCTTATCTTCTTCATAAAGATAGAAAAACTAACTACAAAGATTGAAGTTATTTGCCCAAGGTCACAGCCAGCAAGAAGACCTGGCAAGTGAGCCAAGATCCCAGTGACTTGAGGCTGGGAACTGTCAACAAGAAACTGAAGTCAGATAGCCCTATGCTACTTTCCTTTTCCACCTGCCCCTTCTCCTACTGCCTGAGAAATAGCCAGGGTTCTGAAGGAGTTACAGAAGGGCAGCTTTCCTCTTGTTACTTCCAAATAAAAACTATAGGAAAGGGGCGCCTGGGTGGCTCAGATGGTTAAGCGTCTGCCTTCGGCTCAGGTCATAATCCCGGGGTCCTGGGATTGAGTCCCGCATCGGGCTCCCTGCTCCTTGGGAGCCTGCTTCTCCCTCTGCTTCTCTCTCTCTCCCCCTCTGTCTCTCATGAATAAATAAAAATCTTAAAAAAAAAAAAAAAAAAAACTATAGGAAAGCTGGTATAAGAAATGGATTAGAACAAATTAAATGCAGCTGAACAAAAGCCTCATTCTTACACCAGGATTCACACTGCTTTCTGTCCTACTTTTCTTTCCCTATCTTCTCCAGTTTTTATTAAGGAGAAACTCAAACTATTGAGACTGTTTTTCCAGAAAATTTAAGGACTAAGGATTACAGATCACATGTTCTAAGAGCCCAAAGTCAGGAAGTAAGGATTCCCATTTGGTTTCTAGGATCAACTCAGTTTCCCTTCTTCACCAGAAATTAATTGACTGAGGGCCAAGGAATAAGGTCCTTTGAGAAAACATTCTGGACAATGATGCAACACAGCACATCTTGGCATATTATACTATAGATTATCCAAGGTTTTAATGTGACTCACCTCTCTTAAGACATCCGTAGAGTTATTTTCCACAATCATGGGGATTTCTGGCTTAGCTTAAAGGCAAATAAAACATAGTTAGTGGCACTGACTGTCATTTGACCTGGCCACTAGTGTGTGTGTGTGTGTGTGTGTGTGCACGCATGCGCGTGCATGTAAAATTCATCATTCATCAAATATTTATTAAACACCTACCACGTACCCAGCAGTATGCTAGATACATAGAAACAAAGGTGGACAGATCAACTTCACTCTTTTTTTTTTTTTAAAGATTTTATTTATTTGACAGAGAGAGACACAGCAAGAGAGGGAACACAAGCAGGGGGAGTAGGAGAGGGAGAAGCAGGCCCCCTGCTAAGCAGGGAGCCTGATGCGGGGCTCGATCCCAGGACCCCAAAGGCAGATGCTTAACGACTGAGCCACCCAGGCGCCCCTCAACTTCACTGTCCTTAAGAAATTTACATTTTCATGGAAAATACAGATCTTAGAAAGTCAGAGAATATTTCAGTGATTTTGATGTCCTGCTAGATTGTAAGTGCCTAGAAGCCAGGCTGTTTCATTCATCTCTCCATCTCTAGCACTTAACAGTGCCCAGCACAAAATAGACATTGAGTACATTATGTTGAACTGAAGTGGCTTCAAGTCAGTTCTTGATGGCAGACAGAGCCATAGTAGGAGAAATAGTAAGCCTGTCACAGGTGCTGTCACTGTCTGCTACATCCACTTGGCACTTGCTTCTACTTGTTGAAGGCCTCTCGTTGGGCATACCTAATGTGTCCCTCCTAAGGATTTATGGGAGCACATTTAGTCCACAAGTAGGGCAAACTGGAGGTCTAGAGAGCTAATAGTGATAACAGATGGGGAGTTGGTGGATAATACCCCAACTTCCTTGCTTTTATATGGGAAAACTCTGATGTTTGTTCTTCCAGAGTTCTCTGGTGGGAGTGAGCTCTAAGTCCACACTGGTAACCGGTGTGATCATGTACATTTCATTACCTTCCTTCCCTTCCTTGGCTTTTCCACTCCTCTTCTGATGTTTCCCTCCATAAATTCCCTCAATAAATACTTCTCAAATAAATTAATTTAACTCAAACCCTTGTCTCAGTGTTTTCTTTCAGCAGAACCCAAACCAAAATACACCCTACAACACTAAAGGGAGGAGGGGCATTCTGACCTCATATTAGCAACAGATACTGTTGGAATGAAGGACCTGAAAGAAAAAACAGTTACTGAAAGTTGCAAGGGTACTAGAGAGACATTCCTTTTGAAGCTCAGGACAATCAGGTTTAGGGCTTAGGAGGGGGCAGGAGCAAACCTGTGATGGCAGGTTCCCTGATAAGGAAAATCAAGTCAGAGGAGATTAGTGAGAGAGGGGCAGGAAGTAGCAAGGGAGCTGGGGAAGCTTCTGGTTCCTGGACTGTTAGAGAATGGAGGCATTATTAAGGAAGAAGAAATAAGCTGGATTTAGGGCATCCAAGCTGGAGTGGGTCTCTGCTACACTTGGATATTTATTTCAAGGTTTTCAAGTTTTTATTTTTGGCTTGTTCTATTTGAGGAATCACTGAGGGATGCTGAGTGGGTCCTGAATAAGACATGTATTTTACCGCCACGCCAGGACCACTATAATATGCACTTGGTGGCACACACACATCATCTAAGGACTAGATGAGACTGGCCAAGCACAGCCTGGCTGGCCCATTTGCTAAAGGGGAAAGCCAGGAAGCAGGGAAAATCTAATGAACAAGCAGGCAGAACCTCTTATTTTTGAGCATCCACTGAAAGGAGATCAAAGAAGAAACAGAGAGGGAGATGTAGACACAAACAGGGCCAGAAGAGCGAGACATCAAAGAATGAAAAGCTTTCAAGACGAAGATGGAAGTATCTGCCGCAGAGATATGGGGCACGGTTAAGTGTTGACGAGGCAGTTAGATCAAGCTGTGGTGCAAAAACCCTTGGTCAAATGGGACATAGTTTGCTTAACTTAGAATCGACATTTCTTTTCACATCCTGGATAGCTGCCTTCATTGATTTGCCAAAAGTCAGGCCAGATGAGTCAGTTTCATGTTCGGTCGAAGACAGTCACGCCCCAGTAAGTAAACAGAGGGTGATATCGATGAGAGATGAACAGTCTTTCCCACCTCTTCACAGAGCACTGTTCAGGCTCCATAAGCAACCTGATCTTCAGGGGTGATCCATTATCTCTTAGCCCATCCCCCAAGGAGGGGTGGAGGGAAAGGGAGGGAAGGAGGGCGAGCCGGAGAGAGATATAGGAAGAGCCATAAGCAAAAGACTTCAAACTACAGAAATCTTGGCTGTAGCTGCTTCCTCTTTATGCACCACAGGGTTTGCATTTCCCTCAAAATACTGGATTCTCTGATCTTTAAAAATAATGCAATATGATTCTAAGTAAAAACAAAGATTATTCACTTGTCCAGTCATTCAGAGAACTGAAAGAAAATCTAGTAGCTCATGCCCTTAGATTTTGTGAAGTTATCTTCTCTCTGTTTACCTCATTTGCAAAAATAATTAATTGTTCATCCACATCACTGCCTTTCTCTTTGCCTTCATTTAAAAATGACTTTTTAAAAAACACAGTTTTTGGTGACAAAGATAAAAAAAAATTCCAAAGCCAGGGGTTTGCATTTATTAATATTGCCATGCATCACTGAGCAAAGTAGGATTTTCACATTTCCCCCAAATTTACTCCCTGCAGAGTCTGTGCAATTTGAGTGAGGCCACGGTGGATATTTCAGCTCTGCTCTACACTTTTGTGAAGGCAGGGATAGAGGGCCATCCCTGCAGGCTCCTCTGCTGAGGAGCTGGCCCTGCTGGGGGTGGGGAGACTCCTGCAGTTTCTTTGGAGCTGTGTTTATTATTTTCCTTTTCTCACACTGTCCCCATTCCGCCTTTCTCCAGCAAGCAACCAAGACAATTAGACAACTAAGTATTTAGATTTTGGCAGTTATAATTAAAGAGATTTCTAGTATTTTCAGGAAACATTAAAGTTGTAGATAAGGAGTGGTCACCAGGAAACTGGCCAATCTTTGGCTTTCTGTGTGATTTTGTTCTATCAACTCAATCATTGTTTTTTAACTTCTGTCCTTATCCTCACCCCTAACATGAATGACAATCTCAAGGGAAACAGCTCTAGAGTAGCTACCCGGGAGGGCTACTCTCCAGTTAACAGGGCACTTTCTTTCCAGGGTGGAGCAAGGCAGGAGAAATGGACAGAAAGATGGCAGGGATCTCAGAGAACAAAAACTCTTACCAAAAACCTTGACTGTGGTGGAACTCCTCAAGATTTTGCCAGGTCTGACCATAACGTGGCAGGAGAACTTCCGGTCATCATCGTGGATTTGGACTGGAGAGAGGTAGAGTTTATAGTCTGTACCTAGCTGGACTCTGTCTTTAAATAATGTGGAATTGCTGATGGATTGACCTTGGGTGATAAGTGTTTCCCGAGTTCCATTATCCTCCTGCTGAAAGAAATAGTTACTAGTTACTGTGCACTCAATCATGCCAGCTCTGGGCTAGATATTCTACATGCATTAATTCATTTATATCTGTAAAAATAGAGATGATGAAGAATTGAAATTAAGAGATATTTAGTATGTTACTAGAGAAAAGATCTTTACACTTGACTTTCAGTTGACAACTACAGTCACCCTCTCCTAACATGAATAGAAACTTGATGCTCTTCTGACTACAACTTCCCCTTCATAACTTTCCATAAGCTGCATATCAGGGGTGGGATTTGGAGGGCACAGCACTGGGGGCTAATGAAAGATCATAATTCTCATTTTAAGTTCAAGAATCTTAATGCTAAGATGTGTTGTATCAGTTTCGTTTTAAATCTTCACCAGAACTGGATGACTACAGTTGTCCTCCCTTCAACCTTCCCCTTAGAAAAGGTCTCATTTTAGCTCCCCTAGGGGCCAGGACTAGGAGGAGGTGAAGAGACCCCTAGGGCATAACATTTAAGGAGGCACTTAGTCTCAGGGACTTTTAAGTGCAGGGTGGGCATCTGAGAGTAAGTGCCTCCTTAAATTATGTGCCCTAGACGCCTCCTAGTCATGGTCCTTGCCCTTCTGCCCTTATTTCTATGTTACCTTCAAGGAGGATACATATAGGGTAGACTGTAAATGTTAATCTGAGTTCCACAAATCAGAGTGTATTTGAAGTACTTGGTTCTTCTATTCCATATCCTTTCTTGGGTCTGTGAAGGAAAGCTCCTATTATTCTTGCCATCCCCAGAATTTCCATGGACAAGATCCCTGGGGTATCACCGTGCTGGTCAGTGTCAGTACATGTGCTAAGGGCCAGTGAGGAGGGGACTCTTGAGGGGCAGAAGGGTAGAGGAAGGGTTATACCCTCATTCTTCTTTAGTATAACTTAATATTCTCAACTGAGTTGCTTTGAAAACATTCTGATGCACAAAGTCTCTCCTCTGGAGATTCTACCTCAGTTATTCTGGGATGAGACTCAGGCTGGGGTATTTTTTTTTAAAGGTCCCCAAAGGATCCAGATTTGAGAACCACTGGTCTAACTCTAAACAACAGATGAATCATTATATGCAGAAATCAGGGGGAAATGAGGGGAACTAAGATGAAGAAGGTTGAACAGCAAGCATTTGATGGGGAAGAAGAAGTCACAAAATAATGAAAAAAAGATCTGTTGCTTGGACTTTCTGGCCTAAATCTGTTAAAAAACCAGACAGATTCAGAGTAGTAGAAATGGAAGCTAGGTGAGTGAGAGAATTCAAGTTTGAGCTAGGAGCAGAAACAGTGGAAACACGAAGACAGACTTCTTAAATAGTTCATACAGATATTTCCAGAATATACTTAGTAGAAACTCTTCTGTAAGACAGGATTCTTTAGGTGCATAATAGCTCGGATTGGTATCAACTTTACATACAGATTCAGATAGTACCTCTTGCAAAGAATGATATCCTGCTCAAGACTTCCTCCTGAAACAATGTACATACTTTTATCCCTACATAAAGAAGGACCTAGGAGTCTTCCTAATGAAGAAGCACATAGAAAATTAAAGGGAGAGAGCTTGTATCCTGGAGACAGGGGCTCTGAAAGGAGCCGTTAGTGTTGGGTGGTGACAGCAGAAGAAAGTGGAAGGCGGTTCACTCAATGGCTGCTGATCTGGAAGCCAATCATTAATTAAGAAAGCAGGCTCCCCCTGCAGGTCTGCACAACCCGCTAATTTACACAGCTCTTGCTTCATGCACAGGCTCTGTTTTTGTGAGGATCTTAGAGTTCAAAACACTTCTTGGTCACTTAGGAAATGACTCCCCACTAGGAATGCTTCTATCTGTTACTTTGTAGTGGGAAGAAAGGCAGTTAGAGGCTGAGCTTGGAGACTAGGGAGACAAAAGCTGCCTTTCCTTTATTGTGTAGCTGTGTGGCTGGCTAGCATAGTTTAATTGATGGAGGAGTTAAAAGGGGGGCCAAGGCAAGAAACTGCACATGAATGGCTGCCTTCTCAGAGCAAATGAGAGAAGAGTTGGGGAAAAAATGAGTTCAGGCAAACAAATGAAATGTCTGGAGCTGGGAGAGGGGAAGATAATACTAATATTATGTTACCACCACTACTAAAATTTTATATTCTTATTAATCATAGCTTAAATTTATTTAGCACCCTACTATGTTTTAGACACTCTGCAAAGTTCTTTCAAGTCTTATTTATTCCTTATGACAATCCGGAATAAACTAAGGCTAAGTAATTTGTGAACAGGTCAGACAAAGCAAGGTACTTAAGTCACAGCATCAAAAAGCAGAGACACCCAGGTCCAGGGACAATTAAGTCTCAGAGACAACGTGTACTAATAAAAACCAAACCATCACAAAATAATAAAAGGAATTTTTTTTTTGAGTATCTGGAATGAAAAATTTAGAAGAAATTCCAGGAAGCCAGAGGCCTTTATAAAATCTGCAGATTACGGAGGTGTGGGCAATTTGTTGACTGAAAGAGCTCTTTTATGATATATTGACCCACCTTTGGTGATAGGGGTCAGAGAGTATACCTCAACTCCTACCTGATAATAATGACCTTAGGTAACCTGGTCTGCTGGAAACAGACTGGTAAGAGGTCTTGTACAGAGTCTTTATTCTTACCTGTTTGGGTTTTTTTTTTCTTGTTCTTCAAAGAAAAAAAATTGACAACTTTTTAAAATATTAATAAATATTTCTAAAACTTAATGGGATTCTCACATTGGAGGACCCATATGATTTAATGAGGAATGCAGCCTGAACTAGCTAACATATATGGTACACCTATGCTTGTCTCGACCCTCAGTAGACACTCAAGTAATACAAACTTCCTGTCCTCCAGCCTCACTGATGATCAGTTTGTATTTCATGAGAATTCACAATCTGCAAGGCTAAATTGAAGAATTACGGAGAGTCATAAAATGGATCCTTTAAAGATGAACTTTCAATATGTACTGAGTACAGGTACTATGCTAAATTATTTAGTTTGAATTACCTTATTTATACTTCACAATGCCACCATCAGGTCAATGCTATAATCATCCCCTTTTACACATGAGGGAACTAAAACTTAATTTAGGCAACATATCCAAAGTCATACTGAATTCTGAAACAAAAGGAACAACGTGTGCCCCTATATACACTTCTTAAAATATTGTCCCATATTTTAACCAAGTGGAAAAAATTAATAAAAAATCTACAATTAAAAAATTTTTTATGACTGTGTAAAGTTGTGCCCATGGGGGATACAATATCATGAAGTCCCAGAAACCACAGGCTAATTGGAAAATACTTCTCCTTGAAGAGCATACCTGGGTCTCAGACAAAAACACTGCCTACCTTTATTTAAAATTTTGATATTTTGTTCATCATGCATTTCCCCTAAATTTTGGTTTAAAAAAATAATTCATTAAAATATGTATCTTAATTGCTGATTTTTGGGGCAGTCCCTTAAATTTTGTACTTAAGGAGAGGGCCTTGCTCACCTCACCCTTATCCTAGCTCCCAGGTCACATCACACAGTAAACAGAAGAGCCAGAATTTGAAAACAACAATTTCCTTCCAAAAGTCATGCTATTAATGATTTTGCTATATTCAGCCTCATAACAGTAGTAGAACAAACAGTCCTTGCCTTTTCTGCTTATAGTCTATTTGAGGATAAGAATAAATTAACAAGAAAAACAAAAAATCATGACCCATAGAAGAGAAATAAATGTATAATTAAATTTTGGGCAGGAGTTGGATAAAATAATTAGCACGATGAGGGTTGGGCAGGGTCTTATCGAATCATGAAAAGCTCTTCCTATATGTCCCTTAATGACCTTAGTGACAAACCTTAAAATAATTTGTGAAGGCTTTCCTGTTTTTGTACTAGAATCAGAATTTCCAATACAGAAAAGAGACTCTGTTACTATTTGATTTAGTGATGTTATCTCATCTCCAGGGTGGCCTGAGCACCATGTCAAACCTGGCTGTGTTGACCACAGCCCATGGCAGGTGTTGAGTGTATAGAGCACATTCAATAAATTCTGTTAATTGTATCAACTGCTACTTCTTTATTTCCAAACTGCTTCCTATCGTCACATTTCTTCCATTTATTTTCTATCTAGTTGGTGCTGTCAAAGCGGGCGGTTTGCAAAGCTCCTCACGTCTCCTTTGTAGAACACTGGGACAATATTTTTCTAATCATCACAATTGGTTGTTAGTCCTTTGTGAGTTGGCTACCACTTTATTTCTGATTATAGTGAAGACAGGGTCAGCTGCCATCAGGTAGAAGGTGAGTTTTGTTTTCTGAATAGCTAGGCTTCCCACAAGAATGGGAAACCAACATTGTTTATAATGCCAGTTCGCTTTTTGTTTAAATATAAAACATTACAAATATTGAAGAAGAGTATATGGAAAAGATATACTTATAGACAGAAACGTAAAGAAATATAAGCATCTAGGTTTTAGTTTTGTGCCTTTATCACAAATATTGAACTGTTTGAATCTAATATAGTCTTCTTTTTTTCATGATTTTAAGGAGAAAAATCAGGGTTTCTCTTTATCCACCAAATTGGAAAACAAACATTTCCTCGATAACTCTCTCCACCTCCACTTACCAACTTGTATTCAAGGTCCCAGGGTCTTGGTGTAGTACCTGTCTGATGTTTGCTGGCCAACTGTTCTTTAATTATCTCAAATATAACCTAAGAAGTTTTTCCAGGTCCATTTATGCAGAATCAGACTATCTTCCCTCTCGGCTGCCATTTTTTTTATTAAAGCTGTATTTCATGGCACGAGATATATTTGATGTAGTTTTGTATCCCTGTAGGACTTAACACTCAAAACAGATTCATATATGTTTGTTGGACTGAATTGAAATTTATGTTGTAGGAAATCAGGGTGATGCCTTGGAATGAAAACAGAATATTAGGGGCACCTGAGTGGCTCAGTCGTTAAGCGTCTGCCTTCGGCTCAGGTCGTGATCCCAGAGTCCTGGGATCGAGCCCCACATAGGGCTCCCTGCTCAGCTAAATATTAGACTATATTTAGAAGCTCCCAGAAGAAGCCTGCAGAATTTCCCAGATGACTCTATGCTTGTGCCTCAGGACATAAACTGGAAAAACTATTACTTGTCCTTTATCTACCAACCCGCACACCATCTAAACACAAATATCCTATGACTTCTTATTCATCATCCCATCATGTACATAAACCCTCAGTGTCCACTGAAGGATTAACCCTTTGTGTTTATTTAATTACCTCTCATGCTAGATCAATGTTGGATACGCTATTTGCATCTGATGCCTTTCTGCTTCAGTGCAGTCGCCATCCTGGAATGTAACTTCCCCAAATGCCAAGAAACCACCCCACGGACACATTTGACACAGCCTTTGCATGGGGTTGGGTACACAAGGCAAATAACATTTTTATGATAACTGAGGATCCCAATGATCACCTTTTCCATGAGGGTCATAACAGAATTAATTAGATTTTATAAAATCCCACATACAAGGAGACATGACTTTTGTTTTACAGTGACCTAGATTAAAATAATTTTAGTTTATAAAATTGTTTCTAGGGCTTTAGTGGGGCATTTGAAGTGGGGGAGCACTTTGCAACTTCCCGGAGTTTCCCAGCTCAGTCCAGCAGGCTCCCACCCTCCTCAGCTCATCTTCACCACCACCACTCTTTAATCTTTTTTTAAAAGCCACATTGTACCATGTTAGATTTTATTTATTTATTTGAGAGAAAGAATGAGAGAGAGAGAGCACATGAGAGGAGGGAGGGTCAGAGGGAGAAGCAGACTCCCTGCTGAGCAGGGAGCCCGATGTGGGACTTGATCCTGGGACTCCAGGATCATGACCTGAGCCGAAGGCAGTCGCTTAACCAACTGAGCCACCCAGGCGCCCTTGTATCATGTTTTTAAGAACCACTGGCTTATTATGATTATTACTGCTAGTTTAACAGAGACAAAAGAACGAAAATATGGACTGAGGGGGTATTTGTGTCCTCTGCAGGCCTCTAATAGTCGTGACTCGAAGAACTGCGGATGACTCCCTCATATGAGCACATTAGCTGATCTCCTTTCAGACCTGCTGAATCCCACAGCTGCCAAGAGTGCGGAGCACAGATGTAAATCGGAGTAGCAAATAGATTTTGACATTTAAAAGGGGAATGTGCAGTAGGAATTTACTCAGCACATTTGCCAATACAATGTTCCCTTTGAAGAGAGGTTTCTTTCAAAAAGATTCCTCAAGTCGTCTGTATCATGGTGCATTCTTCAAAGTGACAGCGTGGCTGGAGGTTCTCGACGTTTAGGATTGCCTCACCATGTGACCTTAGGTGCACTCTCTCCGTCCCTCATTTATCCTACATGCCCTGGCAGGATCCGCAGATAACGTCTGCCTGGCCTTCTTCGCTTCTTTGAAGACAACCACTACACAGAAGATGCCTTATCAGTTATCTAGTTGTTGATACCTAATGAGATGCTCATTAACCAGTTGAACAGCCAGCATGAATTTAGTGACCATCAGTTTAATATGAGGCCAATGAAGGACTGTGGGGGAGTGGGACAAAAAGAAACAGATCCAATCAATTATTTATTCTTTATTGAGTGCCTATGTACTAAAGGAGATGCTAGGGATTTTTTAAATGAGTGGCATAGCTTTTTGCCCTGGAGAAACTCAGAGTCACACAAAAGACACAGGCTGGCTGAAGTATTGACCCTTGCTTGGAAAAACAGATAACCCTTTTGATAAGAACACTATAGATCAACTTACTAGCCAGTATAAATCCCTATAAAACCCTTTTGATAAGAACACTATAGATCAACTTACTAGCCAGTATAAATCCCTACAGTCAAGCTTTATTAAACTGTATTATTATTATTATTAAACTTGATGATTCCCCTTGATAGTGAAATTGTGGTAATTAGAGTGGAGATGTTCACCCATCGGTGGTAACTACGAATAACGCAAGCAAGGCATAGATGGTGCACTTCCATTGCTGTGATGTTTAGTATGGCCAGTTCCTGCTCTCTTGAGATCATCTCCTCTTTTCAACTTCTGTCTGAGAACCACTTTGTATCATGTTGGTTAAGGACAACTGACTTATACTGATGATAGACGTAATGATAGGAAGACTTACATTTTGGAAACCAAACCCTATAAAAGGGGGGAAAAAGTGTTTTTTGGCAGATGACAAAGAGACACTGTAGATTTTAGAACAGTCTGAGAAAATTATTTTAGAACATCTTTTTCTTTTCATCCTACTGACTATCCCAAAAATTATTTAGACAGTGACAACTCATCAGTAGGTTGTATTCTGAGGCCTCCTTGCAAGTCCATTATTTTGGATTTGGCACATCCTCAGACAAATCTTTGTATATGAAGGGTCTAGTTTCCCAGACAGTCCACAAAAATTTAGGTAACTCATAAAATGAATTATCATTTATGTGGATATAGTATTTTGCAAACTGTATCAGCCACTATATTCATGGTGACCTAGGAGTTCTGTAAGAATTTTTGAATCTTGCGTTTTCATTTTGGTGACCGTCTAAAAATTATCATAATCATGTTCTGGATCATCTAAATCAACACCCCATTATGTGATACTCAAAACTGTGCTTATGTTTATCTTTGTGTTAGTCTTGTGTCATCAACCAATTTAACAATATTAGAGGTCTACTATAGATTTAGATTAAAGCTAGCTGCCATTTGGTTGGATTGCCTTGGAAAGTTTCTCACAAAAATCTAGATTTCTGGCTTCTTTCTTTTTCCTCCTCCTTTCTTTCTTTTCTTTCTTTCTTTCTTTCTTTCTTTCTTTCTTTCTTTCTTCCTTTCTTCCTTTCTTCCTTTCTTCCTTTCTTCCTTTCTCCCTCTCTCTCTCTCTCTGTCAGAAAACATGGCAACTATGGGTCTGCCACAATCTGTGGCAATAATAAAGCCAAGCAGGCTACTGAGTGGCTGCTTCCCACACAGGTCCTGCTTCTCTCATGTATGTTTTCTGCCTGTATCTTATAAGCATAAGAGTTTGTGTCTCCCCATCTAAAGGAATGCTGCATATTCCCCAGGATGCAGTAGCAAGCATTCTAGGAAAAGGGGTTTCTTCCCTCTCCATATGTTCTTTATAAAACACGTATTTGTGCATAGGGGTTTCTGCTGCATGGGGCTCCTCTCCAGGGCACCATTACACTCTTTTCTCTCTGTAATCAGGGTTTGGTATATAGCTTGAAATAGAAACTAACCTTTAGGAGCTAAGTTTTAAATTACTGTCTTCATAGACCAGAGGCTTGCTGAGTTGGAAGGGATCTTAGTGCCCGCCCGTCCCTCCCCCTCTAGTCCCCAACCTTCCACCTGTGTGCTTCCTTCCCTAGGTTTACTTGCTATTCATTTTTATTTCATTAATATTTAAAGAGCATTGTGGTTATTCACTGAAAAGGGCAACACTTACCACCAACCATGCAAAGGTGAACTCAGACGAAATTTCTGAGGAGATATTTTGAAAGCATGGTATTTCCAGAGTCTGATTTATCTGTACTTCTATTATATTGCTGCTTCTCCATTCATCCTGTGTAACTATAACAAAATATAGGCGGAAGAGACAGGAATATGTGATTGGTTTATAAAATGCTTTTTGTGAGAGAAACAGGAACAGTGTTAGTGGAGAGATTCATCTGCCCTCAGGGCTCACCTACGACAAGGCAAAACCCCACTAACAGCCCTCATTGTATAAATGGCAAAACGGAACCACTGAGAATCAGAGAGACTTGCTCATCACTGAAAAATTACAGGGAAGCTGCCCTAAAAGAATCCAACTCACAATTTGGTATGTTCCCCTGCTTTAACCCCAAAATAATGCTTTAGGCTTCAGATATTTTTTTGATCATTTAGAATATAAAGCTTTATAACCTAGCCTCTAATTATCGTATTAAAAATTCTAATAGGTTTAAAGTTTTTTTTAGAGACGTTTTAGGTTCATAGCAAAACTGAATGGAAAGTAGAGAGGGTTCCCATATACCCCTTGTCCCCTGTGCATGCCCAACCTCCCCCACTACTAACATCCCTAACCACAGTGGTACCTTTGTTACAACTGATAAACTACAATGACACTTCATTACCACTTCAAGTCCATAGCTTATTTACATTAGAGTTCACTATTGGTACTGTACGTTCTATGGGTTTTGAGGGATGTACAATGACATGTATTCACCGTTGTAGTATCATACAGAAGAGTTCCACTGCCCTAAAAATCCTCTGTGCTAGAATCCCCCCTCCCTCCTGCCAAACTCTGACATTCGCTAATCTTTTTCTTGCCTTACTGCCCTTACGAGTTGTCTTTTTGAGCTTACAAATATTCCTCCAAAGATGGAATGATATAGAAAAATATATAAGAATAACAGAAGAGAGGGCTCCAGAGACACTGAACACTTTACAAAAGATAGCCCGGCCCACCCTTCCATGGCAAAAATCAACATGCATTTATTTACCTTAAGTGTGAGCAATAGAAAAGGAATGGGGTAGAATCACACATAAAGATACTATAAGAAAAAAAGAGAAAAGGGAACAAAAGAACATCCCCTCAACAATGACAGCATATTAGAAAAAAGATAATTTCACAATAAAAACTGTAGCCTAATAATAACTCAAAACGAGGCAAAAGAAATAAGGAAAATGATATGAGCTGCAAAAAATTTTAGCAAGACTGGTAAATGAGTCAACTGGAAAGAAGGAAGCTCAGCAGAGACAGGTGAGAGAATTCAGGAAAGGGTTGGAAATAACAACTCATTGTAGAAATTAAGAGCAAACTAGAAGAAAAACAAGAACATTTGGCCCAAAAGTTAATGCACTAAAAGAAATTTAAAAATCCAATAAAGGGAAATTTTAAAATAAATTAAGAAATAATAAATTTTAAAATAAAAAGTATCACTTTCAAAGAAAGTGATAAGCAAAGGAGGTTAAAATCATCTATAATAGAAGGCACCAAAGGAAATAAGCAGTAGACAGAAAAAAATACTAAAAATTATAAGTACAATTTTTTAAAGTAAAAAAAGATTAGGAAATACATATTGAAAGATTATACTGAAAAAGTAGGAAAATAGGCTCAGAATAGACATTAAGCAAATTACTATAATGGTGTTTTTTAAAAGTCAGTTATAGGAAAGAAAATAGGATTATTATTAGCTTTTTGACAGCAACTCTTTATGCCAGAAAATAATGTAGCAACATATTTAATGTACTCAAGGAAAGAAAATGTGAGCTAAGGATTTTATATTCAGCAAAATTAGCCTTTTGAGATGAAGACTACATAAAACCTGTTAGAGCCATGTGTAAGAAGTCAGGGAATATTGCTCCCATGAGCGCTTCCTGAGGATTCGCCAATAGAATACACTTCAGACTGGAGAGGTATTTATATAAAGGCTGCGGTGAGTGTTGAATCTATGTTCGCCTTTAGCACTAAAAATAAATCATTGCTATAAAACAGAGAGTAGTAGTAAATATATATTTTAAAATAAAGAGAAAATATAAGGATCACAAGTGAGGCAGGGGGAGGGTTGAGGTGCTTGTGGCTATGGGGCCATGAAAAGGTCGTGAAAAAAGCCATGTATAAAACTGAGCAAATGTATAAAAACCATCATTTCAAGACCAAAGGCAAACATGTAATTGAGAAACATCTCTTCTTGGAAAAATGCTAGAACTTCAGTAAGAATAGCAGGAGTCTATACTCCTCTTGCCTAAGAATCCTTCCATTCTTCCCCAGCGTTGTCAGTGAGACAGGTAGCTTTACCATCTTGGAGCTGGCTGCAAGAAACGGCAGCTTTTCTTCTGGAAGAGGCAGACTTAAATTAGGTCTGAGTATGAAGATCCTTCATTTTGTTAGCTAACAGGCACAAACTTGGTAGGAAACAGAGAAAAACTGAAGCTTGGTTAGCATGGGTTTGCAAATCCCATTTGGGGCGAGTAGCAGACCAGACAGACATTCAACACGGAGATTCTGGAAATTAGAGAGTCACGGAATAGCTGAGACAAGTTGTCTACCCACCCCAGGCTGACTGGAAAAATACACAGGTGAGTGCAGAGACCTCAGAGAGCTTATTGAAAAGCAAAAGCCAAGGGAGACTGTGTTACGGTCTGCAACTCTGCACCCTCTAACTACCAGCCCCCCCCCAACCCAACACACACACATCTACATGTGGAGGGTGGAAGCCTAACTAACGGGCTTGAGGAATTTGAATACAACTTTTGTCAAATTCATTGGTGGGCCAACAAAGGGGCTTTGCCAATGCAGGGGCAATTCCTTGGAAACTAAAAACATAATAATTATAATAAAAAGTTGAGCAGAAAAATCAATATCCACATACTGAAGAAGAAACAGATTTTATAATTTAGGTATGGGTAGTTACCAAAATTAAAAAAAAAAAAGAAAACTTTAAAAAAACCCCACTGGATCTACAGTTGTCACATTATTATTATTATTATTATTATTATTATTATTATTATTATTTTTATGTCTAGTTTTCAACAACAACAACAAAAAGGTTATACATGAAGAAAAGAGGAAAGTGTGATCCATACTCAGGAAAAAAAGCAGTTAGTTGAAACTGATTCTGATTGCGTCCTACATTGGATTTAACAGACATTAAAGCAGCTCTTATAAGTATGTTCATGGGATTAAAACAAAAGATGATGAAAATGACTCAATAAATAGGGGATCCTAGTGGAGAAGTAGAAAACTATCAAATGAAGCAAATAATTATTCTAGAGTTGAAAAGTCAGTAACAAAAAATGATGAAAAATTTACTAGGGACTGTCAACAGCCAATTTGAGATGGCAGAAGAAAGAATCAGTGTATTTGAATATTGATTAATATAAATGACCTAGGGGCACCTGGGTGGTGCAGTCGGTTAAGCATCTGACACTTGGTTTCCGCTCAGGTTGTGATCTCAGGGTCGTGAGACTGAGCCCCGCACAGGGCTCTGCGCACTCAGGGTGGAGTCTGCTTAGGACTCTCTCTCCCTCTCCCTCTGCCCGTCCCAACTGTGCTCTCTCTCCCTCTTTCTCCCAAATAAATAATCTAAATACATACATATATATATATATATATATATATATATATGATCTAATCTGAAGAAAAGAGAGAAAGAGGATTGAAGGAAAACAGAGCTTCAGAGCTCAAGTGTCCTAACATGTATGCAATGGGAGTCACAGCAGGAGAGATGAAAGAGAGTGGGACAGAACAAATGTTTGAAGAAATAATTGTCCAAAACTTCATATTTAATTTTAAAAAACTTTCCGTAAAGTTAATCTATACCTCCAAGAATCTTAAAACTCAAAAAAACTCAAAAAAGTTAAACACAAAGAGAAACCCACCTAGGCATATTATAATCAACCTGCTGGAAGCCAAAAACAAAGGGAATTATGGAAGCAGCAACTGAAATCAGCAAGAAAAACAAAACAAAACAAAACAATCACACGTGGAGACCAATAATACAATTAATGGCTCATTTCTCACCGGAAACAATGGAAATCAGAAGACATATTCAAAATGCTTGAAGAAAAAGCAGCCCACTAAAATTTGCTGCATTCAGTGAAACTATCCTTCAAAAAAAAAAAAAAAAAACAGGATTTATATGAAATTCTAAAGTTCTTTAGGCTGAAAGGAAATGATACCAAATAGTAACCTCACTCCATGAGGTAGAATGAAGAGCACGGGAAATGGTAAACATACGGGTAAATAGAAAAGATTACATATATAGTTCTCTTTTTTTTTCTCTTAATTTCTTTAAGAACAGAAATTTTTTAAACCATTAATTTTAGCATTGTTCTGTTGGGTTTAATGAAAGGAAAATATATGCTGGAAGAAGTTGCAAAAAGAGAGAGAAAAAGAGAGAGAGAGAAAGTAAACATAGAAACAGACATCAGAATGATCCTGACATTGAAGTTATCCAATAAGAATATTAAAATAGCTCTTTTTAGTATATCCAAGAATAGAGAAAAAGATGAAGGGAGTAAATGAAAAGATGGACAATTTCATCAAAGAATAAAAAATCTACCAAAAACAATAACTTAAAAATGTAAGATTAGAAATTAAAAACTAATTTGATTGGGTTGAAAACTTAAACGGACAGCACAAAAAATAAGATTTGTGAATTGGAGTATAGGTCAATAGAAAATTTCTAAACAAACTACAGAAAGGAGAAACAGAGAAGCTATAGAAAAAAGCATTAGAGATATACAAAAGCAGAAATTTAGGCACATTTTTAAATACTTGAAATCTGGCATCACAAATTTAAATGCTAATAAAAATCCATGCAAGTATTAGAAATAACATGAGTGAATTTATATATAATCGGAGAATGGGGAAAACTTTTTCCATAAAAGTAAGAATTACACTGCATTGAAAACAAAATCACAAGCAAGTAAGGACAGATGACAAACTGGGAACATATTTGCAACTTACATCACAAAGGATTAATAGATTTTATACTTGGGACATTTTCAGCATAACAAGGATAACAACCGTAATGAACTGAAATTCATCAATATGTTCAAATTCATATGAATTCATAATACTTAAT